GATTATTCATGAGCTTACAATAACTTGTATTTGAGACAGAGTAATAAAGTGTTACATAATAATGAAAAGAGAAAGAGAAGGAGAAAGAGAAAGAAAAAGACATTATAGATAAACAATATATTAAAAGCGAAATATACGATAAGTAATATATATAGTATAAAATAAAAACAGTATACTATATATGTATTACTTTGTGTACTATTTCATATTAAATTACGCATTTAGATGGTAGGGAACAAATTTACATTTTTAATACATTATATTCTCTTAAAATTTATCTTAATCACATAAACATTTGTATTGGATAAAAAGTGTAATCTTTGCAAAACGCTTTTTAGAGACTTTCGGTAAATTAGATATAAGTTTAATTAACACATAATATTGTATATTATTATAAAATTTATATAATTTTCACACATTTAAAATCTCTTCTTATTTTGCGCGATAATTTTTAAATCAATGCATCACAATATTAAATCAAAATTGAAAGAACCATCTAATATACATAATTGTTTAATATTATACGGCCAAAGAACAACGTACATTCGATTTTGAATCAATGCAATGGTTCGGCATTACAAACGATATCGATCTACTACTCCCAGTAAAGACATGCGCGCTAACGGGGTAGGTAACCATGGTTCGTCGTCCCATAAACTTGTCGGCATTGTTTCAAGGCGGCGCGGCGCATACGGCTGGCTATCAATCGGCCTTTTCGCGTGGGGGGCACTCACCTCGTAAATTCTCACCCTTTGACACGTGCCCGATACGAATCCCTAGACCCGGCGGGGACCGGGGACAACTATGGCGGTGCGCGTCGGCGCGACAGTGGCAACCCCGTTGGCACAGAAGCTTCACCCCTCGGGACCTGCGGGACGTTAATGAAATAACACGGGAATTAGTCTCGGACATTACCGACAAACTATGTCCATTATCGCACCCTGCGAAAGTATAGCACCCCACGAAAGCTGAACTTTGAGGGTTGTTGCACCAGGACAAATTGGGAAAAGGCTTAAAAAAATCAAAGTAAATGATAATTTCTCTCTTACGTTGTACATGTGTAATTGTATTTGCATAAAATTCATTATTATAAAGTTTGCTCATCACAATTATATATAATACATTATATTGGATATTCTAAATTTGGAACTTTCCATCTCATAAATTGAGAAAAAAATGCACGTATTATTATATATATTATAGTTTTTATTATTGGTTTGTTTCTTCAATTAAATTAAATTATTAAATATTTCAAACGTTATAACTAAATGTTTCTGCTATTAATGTTATGGCAGAAATGTTATATATATACTGAATGTTATTACTAGTTTATAAGATTTTAATTTTGTCGCCCATTTGTTTTATTTTATATACAATCACTTTACTTTCTGAAAAATAAACTTTACTGTTCTTTATTCTTAACTTGTATGATTCCACTCT